GGTAATGGTGGCAGTAATTAATAGCAACGATATTTGTTACTGTTAATTATTACTACTGATGTCATGACTATGAAATTATTGTTACTGTACTATATGAACGTAATTTGTATAATAGTGTTTATTATTCCTAATAGTAATAAGGGTACATAACATTGCACTTTCACTAACTTTAATTGTCTATGGGATTAATCAGTACTACTTTAACAAACAGTTTCTTTTTCAGTATCAGTATTAACAATGGAAATAGCACTTCCACCCCAGCTACTACGCTTCACAACGGTACTAACATTAGTTAAATTTGAGACTCGAAAATGGACTACCTGTAGCAGTTTCTTCGAATGGCCTTAAGTTTTCATTTTAATTCCATACATCGCCCTGTATGTTACAAATCTTGAAATGCTGTAGAGATCCTAACTACATCATTTTCATTTTGGTAGAGTAGAGTGTATAAATAATGTCAAAACCTAAAGAACAGTATTTTATTGGGCTGAGTAAATTTATTAACAATGGATTTTTCCAGATAAATGTGCTTTCGACTCTGCTATTCAAATTTGCTCAAGACTTTTTTCGAATCACTGTTTATTCAGGCACAGACGAAAGTCTCATTCTAGAATGAAAGTGTAGTTCAAAATATCCTACTTGATATTTCGCTGATCTGGAGTACTACTTATGAGTAGTATGAAGGGCGAGCTTCGTCATCTGAAATCCTCTGCATGCAACGCAGCTGCGAAAGGCGGCTCTTTTTTAACGCCTGGAAGTGAGTGGTAGTAGTCAGTGAGGAACCTATCTGAACGCATAGGGGAAAGTGAAAGGGGATTAACCAAAAGCGGAAGTCAACAATGTTTAGTATCTCGCGTCGAACATGACCAGGATCGCCCTAACCTTGATTGCGTTTGATAATTTGACGAATATTTTGGCTAAGTAAAAAGTAACCGTTTGCATAAAATTCTTTTGTACCTTGTCTCAGTCAGATCAATGTTATTGTACGACATGGAGGTAGTTCTTTTAGCGAAACAGCAAGAACGACGTTTGAACTGCATAGTACAGCTTTGATTTCAACGTTGGAAATAATAAATAAATAAAAGCTAAATCAATACCATGTGAATAATAATTATGTTCTTCCGAACACAGGTGAGTTCAGCAGACTTGGCGATTAAGAAAGTGAGCTTGGCCATGTTAGGCAAATTGATTGAGCCTAAATGATTTGCTCTGAACTATGAGCTTCTGTTATGGGAGCTGCAACACAATAGAGGTCGACCATGTGGCCAGGATGTAACATGGAGAAACGCGGAAGAGGTAAGTGTACTTATGGATCGAAACTGTTCATCCTACAATTCAGTAACCTGTGGCAGAAGTGTTGAAAATATTCAGATACTGTGTATATCACAAAGCAGAGAAATTCTGCATATGCATGCGGCCCAAGGTATTGATTTCATCGAACGAGAAACACACATGGTTTCCTTGCGAACATCGCAATGTTAGTTTTACTATTATTTTTGACAAAACTATTCGAGCTCATACTTCAGGTGCCAGGTAGTTCATCCTATAATTTAACATGCTAACAATTTAACTGCAACTGGTAGTAGTTCACTTTTAAGTAACTGTATCAATTGTGGTAATGCTACTACTTAAACTTTTACTAGTACTGACAGTTGCTCAACGGTAGGTCTAGTAATAGTAATTTATCTAGTATTAATAAGAAGAGGCAGAGGGGGATATGTTGCTAGAGCAACAGGGTATTTGTAAAATAACTATTACGAATTTTTAGCATTGCTGATGAATGATGAGTATCTTGGAGGAACCCTCAAATCAACAAACAGTGCTGTACGAATTTAGCATTCTTTCTTTAAAATCATGCAGGAATAAACACTGTTACGTCCAGGATGACCACTATCTAGAAAGAGTAGTGCATGCGAGGTGCGCCTCTTGGCAGAGGACCAAAAAATTATGACAAATAAAACTATACTCGTTATTTAAAAACGTAGTTAAAAGATTATAAAAACTGGAGTATTTTTTGTAATTGATACTTATATTGTATTGAATCTTAGGTGTGATTGCGGCTGATGTTCGTTTTTCGACTTCTATATATATTGTTTTTTTCAGGAAGAGGGTGACAATGAGGAAGAATTAGCCAAATACGACCTGACCGCTGAAGTAAATGAGACGAAAGGCAATGCAGATCGTTCGCGGTCGTCCGTTTCTTCAAAGTCGTCTCATAGCAGTAAAGAATCAGTCTCTTCATCGTCCTCATCGTCAATTTCGTCTTCATCATCATCGTATTCGTCATCGCGGTCTCCTTCTGTCTCGCGTTCAAGATCCAGAAGCAGGTCTGTGTCCCGTGTTCGATCCAGATCGAGATCGGTATCGGTGTCCGGTTCAAAGTCGTCAAGCGATAGGTGTGTTATTACGGTTCCTGCGCTGTATGCTATTGTTTTATAACTTTACAGTTCAAGCTCCAGCAGTAACAGCAGAAGTGACAGCAGTGAGTTGAGGAGCGGCAGCGTGAGCACCCGAGATTCCAGTAGCCCTGAAACGAAACCGGTGACGATGCGTAAGCGTCACAGACACGGTGTCGGTAACGATGGCGGCGACGGACACAGCAGTGTCAGCAGTCATCACTCGAGCAGACACAAAAGACCAAAATTCTGTCGTTCGTCATCGTATGTTACAGCTGCTTCAGCCTTTTCCGTTTTCTACTTACGCGTGTCTCCGTTTTACAGTCGGTCATCGTCCAGAAGCAGCGTCGCCGGAAGTTCGCTATCAGCCGGTTCTCACGCTTCCGGCTCTGGTCCTAGTTCCCGTTTTCGTTCTTCTGGTTCAGCTTCAGACTCTGGCCGCGGTTCTGACCATCGTCGTCGTTCGCGCTCCCGCTCCGGGCGACGAAAGTCACGTCGAGAAGTCGTCGCATGAGCGAGCGTGCGTGTTCGGATTCGGTTAGGGTATTTCAGGTTTGCATTTCTGAATCACAGCCACATCTCAGTGATGCAGGCAAGCAGACATGCAATCAGGCAGCAGTCAGGTGTGCATTATTTTGCACGCGTTAATTAGCAAGCACAAAATCGTGGTCGTTACTACCTGTAGACGATTTTTCGTTATGCGAAAAATACGTTGTTACGTAACGTATAGACGATCTACTCAACTCTTCTGCTTTTTCATCACATTTAGACTTCATAAAACAGGTATAAAGGTTGTGTCGTTCCTACCAACTTTAAACCGTACGTACTTTATAGGAGTAATACTTAATTAAAGCAGTGAAACTTAACGTTATTTTTTATGTCATATCTCTCAGAAGCTTACACTCGTGAAAGCTACCCCAGGACATCTGCGTTGCATTTTATGTCATTTTTCATAAACGTTCTTTTCTGATTGAACTGTCAATCCGTAACGGGGAAAAGAAACTCTTGCTTTTTAACTTAACGATATGAAGTGTGGAAGTATTAAATATAACTTGATTGTTATTCGTCACTCTCCCCAAATTTCGGTTTTATGAACATGAATGCTGTAACTCAGCGACTTGCGGTTAACAGATATTTTAGTATCTATCATATTTAAGATGTATAAATCTTTGTACATTTTTACCCTTCATTCGGAGGGAGGGATGACATTGTGATGTACACGGATACGCAACGTTAGTTACCATAATTGCCAGATCTTGATCATTGAATCTGCACAAAGGGACACAAAGGGTTTGGTTTTACCGTTTTAATCTTTGTAACATCGTTTTATGTATCTTTCGTTCTTTTGGCTCTGTTCCGTTGTCGCCAGGGATTGATAAAAATATCACCCTATCATTCCTTTTAGTTTTGTAATAAGAGTGTTTTTCTCTATTTAAAATAATTAGCTATATGGGCATAAAGAACCTATTCGGTTCTGACTACCAGTGTTTAAGTATCAACTGTTTGAGGTGCAGTGGTTGAAAAGTTTGAACGTCTCTTCCAGTCTTTTCGTAATTGTTTGAAATCACTGTACTCATTATGTGCAGGGGAAATTCAGTCGGGAGAGCGTTAAACTCAGAACCGAGCAATCTTAGGATGAAGCCTTCATCAAGTCATTCATCTTTCTTCCTATGAGTAGATGAATGAGTACCACTTTGCTTATTTTGAGGGTTGCAGAAGACTGCGGATTATAGTGGTAACCTAGCTATAAATATAGTCTCAAAAAATCGGTGCACCCTAACCAGACGATGTAGACCAGATCCTAGGACAGGAGAGGCTGACATTCAAATAGTTTCAAATTTTTCCGTCTTTCCTTTTCAATAGGCACAGCATTTTGCAAGAAATTTGAGTTTGCCCTAATGCAATAATTTCACATTCACTATATTGTGATGATTTGCATATTTTATGTAATCTAATCAAGACTTGTAGCTCATAACTATTGCAAGACCAGCATTCACAGCGTTCTACACCGTCTCCTTGTCAATAGTTGTTTTTTGAGGGGCCATTTAAGCAGACGACGACTCCGTGGCATTTGAACACCTATAATGCCAGATGCATCTCGCATCATTTCATGGATTACGCCATAAAATCTGATCTTGTATGAGTTATGCGTTGTCTGACTACGACAATACTTCGATATTTGATTAGGAACTGGGAATGGTCCTTTAGTTATTGTCTGACGTTAAATCCGTTTAGCTTTGCGGTTTTCTTAAGCTAGAGAAAAAGATTGTCTAAATGAAGCCATGCAATATCATTTATTCATAGGTATACGACGTGATATGTAGATTTCATTCTCATTTGGATCGGCGGCTGGAAATCGGTCACGAATCGTACGTTCGCCATTCCTCGCGGTTTCAAGCTGTCGGTGTACGGATGACCAGAAACTGTTATGATTTCGCTGTACTCTTTGAATATTGAGGCAGGCAGTGATCGACCATTAGTACTGGCAATGATTGCTTTATAGCTTTATAAAGCGGATTTGTCCTCCTTCCTACTGTTGCTTTGTAGGTTGTCCACGTCCTGGTTTTCGGAGTGCTTGTCATCGTTTGTGTTACCATAGTGGGTTAGGAGAAAACCTGCGTTTTGCTTTTACCCGTGATACAAATCTTTACTGTGTTCATCTCCGTTTCCGTGTGATTATGGAAAGTAACAAATTAATTGTTGAATTATTTATTTTTTTGTGAAATGTTTTAAGCCCAAAATCGAAATCATGTTTGTTGATGGTTTAGGCTCAACGAGGAAGACTGGATACTGAAAAGAACGTTGAATGTGTATGTGCCACAGTAAGGTTTATCGAACTTTTTACTGCTTAACGTATTTTTTCGTACACGATTCAGTGAAGGGACCGGCGTAAATCTGTGTGTGTTCATTCTCTGCCTTTTTCAGAACATTTAATCCTGCACTTTGTTTGTCGGATGCTTCGTTATACGAAACTGTTATAATTCTGTTGTCGAAATACCAAATAAATGAGAATTTGAAAAATCAATTTCGGCTATTTTTTGTAGATTGAATTCATTTATGATAGACTTGGTGCTTGAGATATATATCTGTTGTTGCGGTAGATCTGATTTTCTTGTATTCTGTGTTATATCAAAAGCTGTTTATAATCACAATCAGAAGAGATACATGTTTTCTGCGTATTATTTTCGACTGGAGTAAAATTGAAAGTAATGGCAGATCTTATTGAAAATAGTAACGGACCAGTTGTTAGAGGAGAAAGGAATTTCCTGCGCTATTTATTTGTTTGTGACATTGTACAAATATTGTTGTTTGTGACAAATAAGCGCAGAAGCTCTCAGCGTCTATTGGAAAGGCCTGTTACAAACATGATTTGAAAATCAACACAAAAATTAGTAATGCCAACTTCTAAACGGAGGAAACGATATAAGATTCAGAGGTTAACTTAAAGATTTTATAAAATAAAAGTTTTTTACTCGATGTTTTCGTATTTGGTGGAGAGGCATGGTAGGTTAAACTAAGCAATAATAGGATAGCAGCCTTGAATGTATACAGAGCAAAGGTAGAGCTGTATGAAACAGTTTTTAAGGTTGTCATTTATTGTTAGTGAAATGCAAGCGAAGCGGAAAAAAACTGAATTAGTAATGACGACT